GATGTAAGGAGCATCGCCAAGCCACTAAGAAGTTGGATCTTTGGAGACTGCCGGAAATTCTGGTCATCCACCTGAAGAGGTTCTCATACAGCCGGTTTATAAAGAACAAGTTGGAGACATACGTTGACTTCCCCACTCATGATCTCGATTTATCCTCATATATGGCCTACAAGGATGGAAAATCTTCCTATCGGTATATGCTTTATGCAATTAGCAACCATTATGGAAGCATGGGAGGGGGTCACTATACTGCATTTGTTCATGTAAGTAGTGCTGCTACTTTGAATACCTTGCTTCTTTTGCTTTCTTGTGATTCTGTTCTAATGTAAAATAGGAATTTTTAAACCTGATAAAATTGGAATACTAATGATCAGTATAGATGTATGCAAAAATTTGTACTTCTGGATGAAAGGGAAGTTAGTTTTGGATTTGTGTGATATGCTGGACTTGTTAGACTCCCTGAATATGTAATGTAAAACAAGTCCTTTCTTTTGTATTTGCTGCAGCATTATCTTTGTACTATTTCTTAATAAAACTTTTAACTCGCAATATATTAAAATAAACTTCAGCTTATCCAAAAAAAACAAAAAAACTAGCACTTGGGGAGAGGGGTGGGTGGGGGGCCAGGGTCAGTGTACCTCTCTCCTAGGGCAAATTTAGAAATATCATGTTTCGTAGGTGTGTTCAGTTTATGTATTTGCATGTGTCTCCATTGTATATTGAACTTTAAACTTTAGTCATGCATCTTCATTCTGTTGTTAACTTGTTATCATCTGCATCATGAAGAATATGCAAGAAAGAACCTTTCCAGTTTTGCCAATTTAATTCAAATATTCTAACCTTTGTTTTTTTCTTAATAATGTAGCAAGGTGCTGATCGGTGGTATGACTTCGATGACAGCCATGTGTCTCCCATCAGCAAGGACAAGATCAAAACCTCAGCAGCGTATGTCCTGTTTTATAGACGAGTTGAAGAGACCTAACGTTAGATTATAGTTACTAAACATCAAGGCTTGATTTATCTTTTCGCAAAGCCTTACAGGAATGGGTTTGGTTTCAACATTCTTTGACCTTTGGCATCATCCAGTTTAGTTGTAGTTTTGGGTCAAAAAGAATCTAGTGAAGTGGTAACAATGGTTATGTAGCAGTGTAGCAAAGAGAGAAAGAAATTTAAGTTTATATTTCCATAGCCGTTTTAAATGGAAGATACTTTTCCTTAATTATCACAACAGATGAAAAAGTAGTTTGGAACAGATTGTTTATGCACAGGGGAGGAAGCAAAGAAAGGTAAGGTCTTTTATGACATGAAGTTAATTGAATTATGTCATTTTTGCAATTTTGGTGATAATTTTCATTGTGCATTATACTTTGATTCTAGCTTCCATTTTCACCTTTAATATAGGCACATCACTATAGAGTTTCTCAGCAAACTGAGGCTGAGTCTGCGAGTGAAACCCCAAAACGGGCTTGTTTGTATATGATCATTTTAGTCATAAGAGATATCAGGTTTGAGCTCTAACGAGGGAGGGAGTACCATTACATGTATATATACCAATATATATATATATA